GGGCGAGCGATTTGGACTAAACAAATGTGAAGCATACATTCCACGTTTAGGATCTCACTCCATCAATCTATTATTAAAAAAGAGTCATCCCTGTATAAAAGTTGTCGTCGTCGTGTATCACCTGTCTGTCGCCTCCGTCCATATCAAACCGGTACACAGTTCCACCCAAATCTGCCACATAGACATGTTCATGGACAGCGTCTACCATCAGTCCAATTGGCTCATGGAAGTGTCTACTAATGATTTCCACCGTGGGGCTTTGCTGACCCATGTCAGCTCTATTCAACGTATTCCCTCGCGGATGCTCTCCACGATCCGTCCAGTAAAGTACTTCAGTATCGGGCACGATGCCCAAGTCAACGGGCTCTGGGAGGTTGGTGAAAAGTGTCTGGATATCCGAACGGTTCGAGGCATTTTCACCCGGAGGCATGTCAATGCTCGCTCGGAAGATGCGACCACGGAAGCCCTTACTGGGGCCCTTTTGTGTCCAGTAGACCTTCCCATGGCTGCGGTCGAGAGCGATACCGACGCACCATTTGGTTGGATCCGGTGTTTCCGTGGCTTTGTATTTTCCTCGAGACACTAGGACTTCATGGTTGTGGCCTTCAAAGTCACAGCGATGAACACCCATGCCTTCACGGTCGCAGAAGTAAAGTTTTCGATCCTGGTCATCGACAACCAGTTGTTTGGGTGTGACAATCGCGCCTTCCGGGATGATCGTCCTGACGTCGCTTCCATCTAGGTTCGCAGACATGACGGTCCCATCTTGTCTAGAAAACCCCAGTCCCATATTGGTCCAGAATATGCGACCTGTGGACGGCGAGATGCCGATTCCATCGGGGCCCTTGATCCCCGATATTACCGTCGTGAGAGGTTTTCCCTCTCCTGTACTGCGTAGGATTCGGCCAGCATCGCCGAAGAATGTCGCATTCGAAGGGCTGGAGCTCCGTCCAAGTGACAGGCAGTACATGGAGGGCGATTCCTCCACTTCACGGGGTCGCGGAGGGTATAGTCCGCCTTTGCTTGCCTTGGAGCCAATTTTTCCTTGCTCAATGTAGTTGCGGCGGAGCCAGTCGACTGTGAGAGACGCATCAAGGCGTCGCTCTATGATGTAATTATCCTCGATTGATGCCACAGTGTCAAGGCCAACTTGGTCCATCATCGAACACGGTCGGAAGCTTTCGGTGAAGACCTCACTCCATAGCTTGTCGACCTCATCGGGCGTCGAAACCCCTTCTGCCAAGATTGTCAGTGTCTCACGCTTGATAGCGGCCCAGAGACGGTTAAGAATAAAGCTAACAAATTTGTCAGCGTGCGTATAGCGAGGAGTTACTGCTTTATCGCTACTTACCCAGTGGACTCCTTATGAGCTGTAACAGGCAGCATACCACAGTCTTTGAGAATGTGTGTGAGGAAAGGGAAGATCTCCGGATACGTATGGCCATCCGTCATCAACTCTACTGGACGGGTATTCGGGGGCCTGGTGAAGTGCATGTTGCAGACTAAAGGACGACGTGATGCGCTCACTTTGTCAAGCATCAAATGCGATCGGTATGACGACGAACCCGACGCGAGGATACAATCTGTCGGGGCCATTTTGTCCAGCTTTCCCATCGTAATGATCTTGAGTGGTAAAGACTCCGGTACTACCTCGATCACCAGCCAGGCTTCGCGAACAGCACTCACTAAGTCGGGAAATACAAGGCATTGCCCCATTGGACGAGCTTTCTTCGGCAGAAGAGAGTACTGCGAAATGTTTTGCTCAAGATACAACAAGGCAGCGTCTCGTGCCTTTTCGGATGTATCCATTATATGCACGTCATAACCAGCCGCTGTGAACACGCAGGCGATACGGCAACCGATCACTCCAGCACCGACGATGGCTACAGGACGACTATCAATGGTAGCCGGTGACCATTTTGGTTTGATAGTTGGTTTCGGCTCCGACGAAAGAAGTGACCAGCGAGGATGCGATGGGAGGGTTTCCAGGGTATGGAATTGAGATGATGTTTGAACTTTCAACGGCACCATGACTCTTTGAGTGAGCTTCTTCCGAAGATATGAAGTATTTATGATATGTAAATACGGGCTTATTGGAGTTAATCGTCGGATTCTAGTAGACCCATTTCTGATTGACTGTATCTATCGCGATTTTCTGGAGGAATCGCTTGCTTATAACAGTCAAAGTGGCCATTGTTGTATATATACTCTTGACACTCCTCATTCTTAGTTAGGAAATATGATCCACTTAAATGGCCTGTTCTGACATATAGGAATATTGAACCCCCAGGATAAACATTAAATGAGCCGGTCAAATGCGGTTCCTAGATCGCTTAAACATCAAGATGGCAACCTGCCTATGCAATCTTCTTCCGTTTCAATCCTTGAACCAGATTCTGGGGTCTGGTTTCATCCATGAATTAACCTACATATCTGATACTTGGTATATTTAAACAGGAAAGCTTCGTATACGAGCTAGTTTGTGCAATGCGAATCCGGTTTCCTCGTGGCAATCGGCCAGGTTTTGCGACCATGTGGATAGGAAGCGTATGAATTGTAAGCCTCCGCTATCATCATGAGGTGGGTTAAGAGAACTGAACTCTCTGCTCTCTCACAAATTCAGCTGTTAAGGCAGCGTTTCTCATGGACCTCACAAGCGAATCAGCGCCATTGAAATTTTCATTAACCCGTTGAAACCATCGTCTAATGGCTACTACCTAGATTTATAATAAGCTCCGGCAAAGTCTGGATAAGCTCCACAGCAACCGGTTATGGCGTCCACCCGACGCCATCTCGTTGCTCGAAACGGATTTTCCCCACAGGAGGAGCAACTCGGCGTCGTTCACATGGAGACCCTTCCAGACCCCCGAAGGCCTTCGAGCCTCTTCACAGAGATCCCAAGACTCGGGGCCTTGGCTTTGATCCACGCCATCGTCTTGGCCTTTTGACCGACATCCATCAGATTCTTGGCAAAAGGCCTCGTTCACATTCAAAGATTGAGAGCGAAGATGTTAAAGTGCTTGTTCGGACCCGGTTTAGCTGTGTCTTATCCTATTTTCAACCCTCTACCTCACAACTATCATGGCTGGTAGTTTCCTTCCGTACCATGAGCCCAGCAGTAAGTGCTCACCACGAGAAAATGGATTCTCGCATGACGGTCTAACATCCGATCAGTCGTTGAGATCCTCGTAATCATCTCGTTCTTTCTTTTCCTCTCCTTGGCAGAATGGGCATCGGCGAAAGTATTGCGGGCCGGCATCATTGGACAGATCGCAGTCGGCATCATTTATGGCAAACCACTAGCGGATATCCTGCAAGGAGACTGGCAGCAAACATTTTTAGCGCTGGGATATGTTGGGTTAATTTTAATTATTTTTGAGGGTTTGTACTGCGGGCTTTCGAGTGAGAATGGTGTTGACGTCAATCATTTCGCAGGCGGACTTGGCGCGCGCATCGATCTTTTGAGAAAGAATTTGCTGGTGAGCACTCTGGGCGCTGCCACTGGAGTATGTTTCCCGATCGGATTTTCATATTTGCTCTTATTTCTGGGGTTCGGTTACGGTAGGTTTTTTTTTTTTTTTTTTTTCGGAGGAATGGAGGAAATATCGCTGATGTTGTTTTCAGGAGCGGTTGAGACGTTCATCATCGGGGCTGCTTTGTCGGCCACTTCGTTGGGTATCACATTAACAAATACCATCAGTATGCTATACTTCATATGCTAATGAAGGAGATAGGTACTACGTTTGCCGTCATCTCATCGGCATCCAAAACGGTAGACCTTGCCCAGACCCGAGTGGGTTCTGTCCTTGTCAGCGCCGCCGTCATTGACGATGTCGTCGGTCTGGTGCTATCCAGGTAATAACCCCAACGCAAGAACAGTTCTCGAGGCTTAGACTTACCATAAAATAATCAGTATCATCTCCGACTTGGGAAAGCTCGACGGAGGCGATGCCAACCTTGGCTGGATTATCGGCCGCCCGATCGTTGCCTCCGTAGCGATGGCCATCCTCACGCCATTGCTGACGAAATACTTTTTCGCGCCTATCTTTCGGAAATATATCGAATTTCACTTTGCCCTCTATGATCACATCTCCAATATCATATTAATGACCCTAGTACTATGCGCATTCATCACGATCGCCGCATACGCCGGTACATCCGTTCTCTTCGGCGCCTTTCTCGCCGGAACCTTCCTGTCGTATCTACCCAGCAAGCGACCTGATAGCCCATTTGTAGTGGCCAGTCGGGAGGAAGGCGAGCAGAATATCGACAAGAGTCCGACCTTTGTCCATACATTCGAGGTGTATCTGCAGAACGTCCAGATGTATCTGATGGAGCCCTTGTTTTTCGCGAGTATGGGGTTTGCTATCCCGTTCGTGCAGCTGTGGACCGGGAAGCGCATCTGGAGGGGTGTCCTGTTCACCCTGCTGATGGTAGTCGCTAAGGTTTGTCTCTTTTCGCGTGTTAAAAGTGGCCTGAAGCTGATCATGTGTAGTTTGTCGTCGGCGCCTGGGTTCCGCTTTGGCAGATGTTGACCATGCGGAAGCCAAAGTCTGATGAAGCGTCGGAAGAGGCTTGCTCTGCGGGAAATAGACCGGAGAAGAGACCTGGGGAGAATAAGACCACCCTTCTCTCCGGTTTATTGCTTGGTTCGGCCATGGTGGCGCGCGGTGAGATTGGGCTCTTGATTATTGAGATCGGCTACAACTCGACGTCGTATGTTAGTCAGGAGGGCTTCATCACGGGGGTCTGGGCTATCTTGCTCAACACCATCATCGGTCCGGTGACGGTGGGCATTCTGGTCAAGGTATATGGGGAGCGCATCGGACAAGGGGAATGGGGGTTGCAGAAGGACAAGACGCCGGCGGAGAAGATGGCACATAATTCAGCATGACAGCAATTAAACATGTGGAAGACAACCAAAATAGACATTATTTACACCCAAAAACAATATCATACTAATTATTGAGGTGTGTTGAATAAAGAAAAAGAAAAAGAAACGTCCCGGGAGAGGATCGAACTCTCAACCTCAAGATTTACGGAATAACAGTCTTACGCGCTAACCAATTGCGCCACCGAGACTACTCGTTGAGTGGCGCCGCCTTTTGTAATTATTATAGAAGGCGTACCTTAATTATTCACCATTCTATGATTCTTAGTAGTTCGCAGACAATTAAATCATTTAATTCACTCTAAAACATCATACCATGGATTGTAATTTGAAATATACATAATTGCAGTTCTAAAGCTGCTGCCAGTGACCCACGAATCAGATTGTCTTCACGGCGAAATATGCCATATCAACCATGACAACAATCCTGCCAGTTGTTAAAGATGCCCACCCTAACACAGCCATCGCCATACTATATTAGACAGAAAAAGACCGCACTAATAGCCAAGCTACTAAGAAACAGGAAAGGCATGGACTTGGCCCCCATACGCACCCCCGTGCAATTGGTGGGTCAAACTCCCGATGACAGTGGATACTACTGCAGGCTTTGCATGAGGCGGAGCAGAATCTGTTAGTGGGATAAATAACCATGTGGTGTTGAAGTTCTTGTCGCTGAGATGCACGCGAAAATGATGGAATCAGATATTGACGACAGCAGTTTCGGTTTGGTTGACCGTTCTGAGAAGAAGAAATGGGCCGATTCATCTGTGTGGAAGCGATTGATATGGAGGTCTGGTCGTGATCAGCCTATACGGATGGAACGTAGGAATGGTACGAAGATATAGAGGCTTGATCTGCGAATCTTATACGATCCATACTTATATGAAGTAGATGCAAGTGGGATCTATGAACCAAAGGGGAAGCGTCAGGGTGAAGATTCACCTTACTATCTCCCGGGACCTTCTGAGAAAGATGATCCGGACAAAGGAAGCCGGAATAACTGGGTCAAGGGCATGAAGCTCTGCACATACATCGCGTCGTTTATTTTCGTCCTCAATCTAGCCCTCACCATCGCCGCCTGCAGCATCGCGTTCTCCAAGAATATCGGACCCACGCCGAACTTTCTAACAGCAACCGTGTTCCATGGCACCTGTACGACTACAAAACGAGCGATTGTTGGTCTGCATCTGCTCATCAACGTCCTGAGTACGGTCCTCCTGGGTGCTAGCAATTACTGCATGCAGGGGCTGGTGGCCCCCGATCGGAACGATGTTGATCGAGCTCACGCACAGCGCAAGTGGCTGGACATTGGCACGAACAGTGTGCGAAACCTGCGGACACTAAGCTGGCGGAAGAGAATTCTGTTCCTACTTCTGATCTTGACTTCGACGCCCATCCATCTAGTGTGAGTTTCACTGAATTTTGCGATCGTGCTGCTCTGTATCGGCTAATGGTTGGTAGGTACAACTCGACTATCTTTTCATCTTTGGGCTTGAATGAGTTCCAAGTACTTTACACCTCCCACGAGATGGACCCTAGCGACATCGCGTCCAACGCTCCGACCTGTTGGTCGGCTGATTTCGAGCAGAGCATTTTTAGTTTCGCCGATGAGATCTCACAGGGCAAGTATCGGGCGATGACACCAGCGGAATGCTACGAAGACGCTTTGAATCCGTACGTCCCCAGTCGCGGTATGGCTGTAGTCCAGCTGGACTACGAGGGCACGCAACCAGCCGACAGCCTCTTCTACTATCCCGACCCTATCAAGATCGCCTCCAGACTCAGCATCTGGGAGGATTACACAATCGGCGCAGTTTACCCGATGCAGTTTGATCTCTGGGAAGCCTCAGTGCCCACCGCACAAGGAACCGTGACGTTTACCCTCCAGAATGTCACAGACATCGACAATCCCTCCGTCGACCATTATTGGGAGAAGAACAAGGTACACGAAGTCGGGACATTCGAAGTCACCGACTTTGACAGCGACTTCGGGACGCTGCTCGGGTACCTTGAAACTGGACTCAACGCAACCACGTGGCGAGAGAAGCTTTCCAACGCTAGTAAGTGGGAGAACGCTACGTGGGCTTCTCAAGTCACCACTACCAAGCTCGGAAATGTATGCACCTCGACTATGGAACGGCAGCCAGATAGCCTCGGCAAATTCTTCAATGTGCAGGGTTGTCTTGCTCTCGAGGGCGTCCAGCACTGCGAGCTACTGATCAGCCCGGCCCTGTGCGTGGTCGTTCTTATATGCAACGGGATCAAGGTCATCTGCATGTTTCTTGCGACCAGTAGAAGCCGGAGGGAAGTCCTTATCACTCTGGGAGACGGGATCGCATCGTTCTTGGAAAGGCCTGATCCTACCACCTCTGGGTACTGCATGCTCTCTAGAGCAACGGTACAACGGTGGACTCATCTCAGCAAGGATAAACCCTCGTCTGACGAAGACTCGACTCCACCACCTACAGAGCTCCCGACTAGGAAGCGCTGGGCCCACGCCGTCACCCCCTGGGGCTGGGGCCTGAGCATCGGAGTGTAAGTCAGCCACCCCATACCTAAACCAGAAACTGACCTTGCAGCTGCATCATCATCCTCGGCGTCTCAAGCGGCCTACTAGCATACGGCCTCCACCTCCTACAAAACGCAGGCTACAGCACCAAGCCCTCGGCCCTCTGGAACCTAGGATGGGGCAGTCTAAACGACAAGAACCAGGCGTCTCTCGGCCTAAACAGCAACACCCAATCATCCGTCCCTACAATGCTGGTCGCCAACACCCCCCAACTTATCCTTACGATCGCATACTTCTTCTACAACCGCGTCTTGACAAATATGCTCCTGGCAGCAGAATACGACAGCTACGCGCAGAAGCGAAAGACCCTCCGAGTGTCTTGGCCTAAAGCACCGCAGCGCTCTACTTTCTACCTGACTCTCCCGTATCGATACAGCATTCCATTCACGATTGCATCTATCGCGCTGCATTGGCTCGTATCTCAGAGCCTTTTCTACGTCTTGATCAAGACATATACGCTAGGGGCAACGGCTGAGCAAGGCCAGATCCATCTAAGCCTTTGTGCCTGGTCGCCCGTTGCTGTGATCTTTGCATTGGCGCTGTCAGCCGCTATGGTCATCGTCATTCTCGGGCTTGCACTTCGGCCGATGAAGTCGCAGATGCCCGTTGTTGGGAACTGCAGCGCAGCAATCAGTGCAGCTTGTCATCCGCCGCTCGATGATGTCGATGCCTCGACGCAGCCGTTAATGTGGGGTGAGGTGTCGGATACTTTAGGAGATATAGGATTAGAAACAGATGCCTTCGGTCGGAGGACAGATCTAAAAGGCTACGCACATTGCACGTTTACTTCGAGGGAGGTGGTTACGCCTAGTCTGTTACGTCTTTATGCTTAGTTGATAAGTTATGAATGATGTCTTGCTTGTACTTCTGATAGATCCAATTTCTCCATCCTTGCACAGTTCATGTTTCTGAATGTAGTCCAAGCCAATCATGTAGCCAATCACAAATCCATCCTGCAAGTGATGATATCAGTACCGGTCAAGTACTCGTAGAACTGGAAGATGTACGGATTTATCCGCCCCAAGAGCACCCAATCTGGTCACGCACGCACTCGTGGAACATCTCGTAGGAGCGCGAGCCCCAGGCGCATTTGTAGGCGACGTATCCGCAGTTCAGCATGCCGTCGTCACTGGTTCGGACCACGCGGGCGGAGGTCGATAGTATATAGAAGAATAGGGCGACTGTGGGGATGACCTTCATCGTGGATTCCTAGTGCAGTTTGTGGATGTTTTGAGGATGTCTTGCCGCAGGGTTTGCTCAGAATGATGGGTGGAATGGTGGTTGTCAGTTAGCTTTGTTGATTGTGTGCTCTGTCACTATTAGGTCAGTGTCGGTAGTACCCTCCGTATGATATGACGTCTATTTAGACGATGATCGGGTCTCATGTCCATGGTTATGTCTTCAGTCTGCGTTAATTCTATCAGATGAGCATCACTGCCCGGAAGCCATTGCTGCTCCTTGAACAAAGTACTCGTCCAACAACGCACCAGCGTCTTTCTCCGAAACTGCTAATTCCAGGTAGTGCTGTGCGTGGGGACTGTCCCGTTGTAACCACTCATTCCTCCCATCAGGATAGACATAGTTACGGCCTCCTTCATTTCCATAGACGAATGTACGCCCTAGACCCTCTATGGCGTATAGTACGGTCAACGGATCCCATGAATTCCGGGACTGATTGTACCCACTTGACAGTGTTAGCTGTCGCCACTAATTAAATGCAGAAACATACGTATACCACTGGTAAGCTGCCTTTACGGGATCACCGATAGGCCCTTCCACCGTTAGTCTTGCGCCGGAATAAACAGGCCCCCCTAGTTCTGCGCCCGAGAACACCATACGTCCCGGCCAGGTGTTGATAACATGGGCAGCTGCGCTAGCATTGTAGCCGTAGAAGTTGTACTCGTGGCCGCATGGATATGCCCCGCCCATGATGACTAGTTCTTTTACTTTGGTAGCTACTAGTGCGCTCCCTGGTAGAGGGGAGTACGCATCGGCGGACGAGGAGAGAAGACCGGAGAGCTGGGTGTTTGAGTACAGGTAGTTAGAGAGAGGTTACGCTACTTACGTTATCCAGGAATCCGATGCTGGCGATCGTCACGCTTTGGTCTTCCTGTTCGGATAGGAGCTTGCGATATAGTTGTACTGGATCCCATGCGCTACTTGTATCCATCCATGGCATGTCGGAGTGCTGTCGCCAGTTGTAGGCCACTTTGCTGGCATATTCGCCTAGAATGTAGGCCCTGCTGTCGAAGAATGTCCTGTTGGTGACGGGTTGCGGGACCCCGATCGGAATATGTGAGTGCTTGTAGTATCCGAGGATACTTGATGCCGCTAGGACGGAATACGTAGATGGGTAGTTGATGTTTACGCCCAGCAGGTCAGCTTGAGAGTGTGTACATGCTAGTAAGAGTGCGCCTGCGTCACTGCTTGTGTTAGCGATATGCGGGGTAGATTGTGACGGTGAATATACTCGACGTCGCTGAATAGATCGGTGTCGATGATTATCTTCTTTCTTAAATTAGAGCCGGTGGTTAGGCCGGCGAAGATGAAGGCGAGTATATGTATCCACTGCATGCTTCTGTATGAAGGGGTGTCTTCGTTTCTAACCCTCCAGTCTAGGCT